AAATTAAACGTATATATATAATACATAACAAAACGTATTTATAATAAAACATATTTATAATAAAACATATTAAAAATAACATATTTCGAAAATATTAATAACATATTTTTAATTTATTAATTACCAAAAAAATAAAAAATAAAAATAATTTTTTTTTTTTTCAAAGGACCGGCCGTAACCGGTTATGGGACCGGAACCGGGACTGGTTATCCTTAACCGGTTATATGAAAGCTTGACCGGTTATAGTGTTTTTCGTCGGGACCGGGACCGGAACCGGGACCGGTTAACGCCGGATTTTGTCACGATTAGGCCCGGCCGTAACCGGTTAAGGCCCGGCCCGGGACCGATTTTTGGCCATCTCTAGTTGGGTCTATGTATCCTTCGGCCCCTTCTACGGCCCATGAGGATTCTGCTACTCCTTCGTGCGACTTAGGAGATGAAGGTGTTCTGATTGGAAGCGGCTCAGACCAGGGGGAAGAAGATCGGGTTGAGGAATGGAACCTCCAATCCAAATTCGATTATTCGGAGACTAGGAGAAGGCGGAAAAAGAAGATGAAAAAAATAAAAAGCCCTTGTAACTGTTTCCAGAGGAAACGTGGGACTTCTTGTTACCATGATGCTGCTTCAGGAGGTATGTTAGGGGAAAGCTATGAATGTGAAAGAAATTCGCAAGACTCCTCAGACTCGGACTTGATGATTAGAAACTCTAATAACTGGATTAGAGTTGCCGCCTCTTTACCAGGTATCTCTGAATCTCTCCCTCTTTCGGTTGACAGTCCAAGTCAAGAAATAAGCAAATTGGTTAAGGTGGGAAAGGAAATCGGCATTAATTTAGAAAGCAATTTGGAGATCTTGGAGAGTGTAATTGGAAATGGGGAGGGCGTAGATTTATGTTAAAAATCCTTTCATGGAATGTGAATGGGATGGGAAAGGAGCCGAAAAGGAGATGGGTCAAGACTGCGGGGCGTGAGCATAAAATTAGTTTTCTCTGTCTCCAAGAATCGAAAATGGTTATTCAGCATGACTGGCAGGTTGCTTCGGTTTGGGAAGGAAAGAGCTAGCAGTATGCTGTTATTGATCCAGTTGGTCACTCGTCTAGCTTGATTACAATCTGGAACGGTGGCTTGTTTCAGGCCTAGTGTGTCGAAAAAAAGAGGGGTTCATTGTGGTCATGGGTACGTGGCTCGCCTCGAAGGTAAAGCTCGGGGTGATCAATGTCTATGCACTGCAAGATACTAAAATGAAAAAGATTCTTTGGGCGGATTTAATGGGAACGTTACGAAAATTCTCTGGTGTCGCTTGGGTTGTATGTGGGGATTTCAACGAAGTTCGTAATGCAGATGAGAGGAAGAGATCTCTTTTTGATTCGATTGGAGCAAGGTACTTTAATGACTTCATTACTTCGACAGGGCTCTTGGATATTCGTTTCGGAGGGCGCATATTTACCTGGATGAACCGCGAATGCTCTAAGCTGAGCAAGCTTGATCGATTCCTAGTAAACTCGGAGTTTGTCAATGCATGGCCTATGGTGAATTCAATGGCCCTCCTGAGAGTTTTTTCTGACCATTGCCCTATCATTTTGGACTCGAGCAGTAACGAAGGTGGGTTTATCCCGTTCAAATTCTTCAACTCATGGCTTCCGGATCAAGAATTGGCTGCCTTGGTTGATAATTGCTGGGACAAGCCTGGTCCGGACTTCGAGGTGTTTTCGAGGGTGGAACGGCTTTCCAGAAAGCTTCGGCATCTCAAAAAGTGTATTAAAGTTTGGAGGGAAAGAGCTTCCAGGGATGTTAAAGCGGATTGTGATGCCCTTAAGCAGAAAATTGCAGCAATTGATCTTCTCGCGGAAATGGGACCTATTGATGCGAACATGGTGTGTGAAAGAGCGAACCTTATGGTTCAATTGAATGACTTGGTCACCAATCAGGTAAGTGATCTTAAGCAAAAAGCCAAATCTCGGTGGATAGCGGTTGGAGATGAGAACACGAGATTTTTCCATGGTCTGTTAAATAGTAGGCATAAAAGCTCTCGGATTCATGGATTGAACATCAATGGTAGCTGGATTTCTAGCCCGGAGAAAATCAAAGAAGCAACTCATGATTTTTTCAAAGCTAAGTTCACAGATCGATTCCCGTCTAGGCCTACTATTAGCAGCTCGCTCTTCAAAAAAATCTCGGTCTCTCAAAGGGACGGGCTTGAAGCGCCTTTCACGGAGGAAGAAATTAAAAGTGCGGTTTGGAGCTGCGGTAACAACAAGGATCCAGGTCCGGATGGGTTTACCTTCGAGTTCATTCGTGCTTTTTGGATCAAGCTGGGGAAGGATTTTGTAGAGGCGGTCAAGTTCTTCGAAGGAAACTCTATTATTAACCCGGGTAGCAACTCTTCCTTTATTTCTCTCGTGCTGAAAGTAAAAGATCCCCTCTCTTTCGTGGATTATCGTCCAATAAATTTAATTAGGTGTGTGAGCAAAGTGATTTCGAAAGTCCTTGCAGAAAGACTGAAAAGGGTTATTGATTCGGTTGTGATCAACACGCAGACGGCTTTCATCAAGGGTCGTAGTATTCTGGATGGTCCGATGATTGTTAATGAGCTAATAGACTAGGCCAAGAGGATTTGGAAAAAAATGCTTATCTTCAAAGTTGATTTCGCCAAAGCCTTTGATTCTCTCAACTGGAATTATCTTGATGATGTTCTTATGCAGATGGGGTTTGGTGACAAATGGAGAGCTTGGATGAAAGGATGTGTCCGCACGGGTAAAGTTTCGATCCTTGTCAACGGCTCTCCGTAAAAGGAATTCAATATGGGCAGAGGTGTTAGACAAGGAGATCCTCTAGCTCCCTTTCTTTTCATTCTGGCATCCGAGGGTCTTAATGTCATTATGAGGGAAGCGCAGCGGAAGCATCTTTTTAAAGGTGTTAAGTGGGCGAACCAAGCGGAAGAGGTGTCAATTCTGCAATATGCGGATGACGCCATTTTCATAGGAGAGTGGGCTGCCGATAACGCAAAAAATTTGCTTAGAATCCTTAAATGCTTTGAGGTTTGTTCGGGCCTCAAAATCAACCTGAGTAAAAGCCGTCTCACTGGTGTTGCGGTAAGCAAGGAAGAGATCTCTAGAATGGCCTGTTGGCTTAAGTGTAAGGAGGATGCGATCCCATTTCATTACTTGGGTCTCCCAGTTGGAGGTAACATGTCGCGCCTGGCAAGTTGGCAGTCCGTCATTGAGAAGTTCAAGTCGCGTCTATCGGTCTAGAAAGCTAGGACCTTGTCCATCGGTGGACGGTTATGCCTTTTTAAATCTGTGTTGGGCAGTTTGGGTACTTACTACTTCTCGATGTTCAAAGCCCCTAAGAAGGTAATTAGTACTCTGGAAAATATAAGACGGCGTTTTTCTGGGGCGGTACAGAGGACGGAAAAAAAAATTAGTTGGGTGGCATGGGACCGGGTTCTTAGCTATAAGAAGAGTGGCGGATTGGGTATTGGGAGTTTACATGCCTTAAACCTGGCAATGCTTGCAAAATGGTGGTGGAGAAAGTGAACGGAAGACCAGGCAATCTGGAATGTGGTCGTGCGTCTCTATAACCCGTCCCAATTCTTGCTTGGAGCCAGCAGAGGCAGAAGATATGTCTGGAGAAATATCAAAAGTATCGAAAAAGACCTGGGGGACATCGGTATCAATATTGATAGCCATCTGATCGACGTGCCGGAGATGAATGGGTGGGCTTGGTTGCTGGAGGATAACAATATCTTTTCTGTTAGATCGCTAAGGAGATTGATTGACCGTGTCTCGCTTCCTTCTGTTGAACAGGAAACAGATTGGCTCTTGATCCGAACCCTAGCAAGGCCAATATTCACTTATGGAGAACGCTCAATAATAGGTTAGCGACTAGGGATGATCTCATGAAGCGAGGAGTGGCATGCAGCTCCGATGAGTGCCCGACGTGCTTGGTCACGATGGAAAACTTGAATGATGTCTTCGTGAATTGCTCCACGGCCCAGGTTATCAATGCACATATGGTTTTCTTGGGTAAACTGGTGGCCGGTAAATGCGACTTCGGTTCGGGACATGTGGTCGGTGGTCCGCGCGATTGGAGTTAGCGGCCGAAGAGAGGTGGGCAAGATGATTATGGCAGCTTATATTTGGACCGTCTGGACGCAAAGGAATCACAAGACGTTTAGAGGCACGAGCAAGTCTGATAAGGATGTTTGTAGCGACATCCAATTTACTGCGTACGAGTGGATTAGGTGTAGAGCGAAGATTAGCAAGCCCTTTAGTTGGGAGAGTTGGATTTGTAACTCGATGGATGCTGTATATTCGGCTATTAACTAGCCCCTCGCTAGTCTTCTTCCTTTCTTAATAAATTGAATTTTGCTGTCCAAAAAAAATGAAATGCTCACTATCTACAAATTAGGTTATTTAAACAAAGAGAATAAGAAAGCTACTAAACATTTTAGTCACTACGTATTTATGCAGGGCATAGTATCACAATCTTGCATACAGTTGCACTGTATTCTCATTTACCTGCAGTTCATTGTAGTTCCGCAACAAGCACCCTGGCATTAGAGAAGAGACAAATGTTTCCCATTTGAACTAATAGAATCAGAGGTAATTTAAATATTAACATTAAGCTTAACAGATAAAAGAAAAGAGTTCAATATTTTTTGAATAGGAGATTTGCTCTGCTTTCAACTCACAAATTTACTATCAACATAATTTGAATCCAGTGACTCGCCAATAAAGGTAATTTAGCCTGGGGGTCAATAGGGTGCTCTAGTGGTTAGTGGTCATTGACCTCTACAAAATTTCATCAGCAAGGTACGAAATTGCGGTACCACTATTTGTGGCATGATTTGCCGTTATTTGATTTGTTTTTTTTTTTTGCTAGAAAGTTAGAAATTTGGTCGAGGAAAAAGGGAAAATTGGGTACAAAACATGTGCTCACCACTCCACTTGTCTGATCCCTTAATCTAGGATCTGTTGGATCAACTTCCATCTGCATTATCTTCCTCGAGTATACTGGCTTCTCCTTGGGAAAAGTATAGCAGTTTCGATGTTTACTTGTGTTACGACCACATATTTACGGATGAAAGTTTCAAAGTTCAAATCAGCCATGAGTTACTGACAACCAGACTTCAGATATCCCTATACTTCCGTTTGATGGCTGGAGGTGGATATCTGCAAACAACTAAAGTGAGGTCATCGATTGTTGTATTATCAGAGAATTTGAGCAGAGGAAGAATTCAAATCATTTTGTATTACCAGTGTTTTATAATGTCGAACCCTCAGATATTAGGAGGCATCAGAAAAAATTCGCATTACAGTGGTATAAAAAATCTGCGGTATGGAAGGAAAAGGGGGATTTATGGAATGCAGCCCTTAAGGAGGTAGCTACTTTGCCTGGTTTTAGTGTTTCTAAGTATGCTTTTATCTTTTCCTGCTTATTATTTAATATTTATGATAAATCATCGGAAAAAAATCCTGACTCCAAATGTATCTATACTATATTATAAAACATTTGACAAAAAACTCTTAAAAATCATTCTTTATGCATGAAGTATTTATATTAATGTATATTACTTAAAATTTAAGATTACAAGTAAATTGTGCGTAAGTACAACTTATTAAAGCTCCATTTTTGAATTCGTATAACTAACTGCAGATAAATATAATCAAATAGAAGATAAATATTTCATTTTAAATATAAAAAATCTAAAATATAATTAGAATAATAATTGAATTCTAACAGAATCATTATCTTTATAAAAGTCAAAAATAAATTACTTTGCTATTAGACCTAAATTAAATTATGGGGGTGTTTGGGATTGCTTATTTAGGATGCTTATCAACTTATTTCAGTTCCGTACCGCCGATAAGTTATTTCTAGTGTTTGGATGAGAAAAAAAGAAAACGGCTTATACCGGTGCCAAACCGGTAATAAGCMGTTTTTGATAAGTTAAACCGTCCTGACTTATCAAAATCGACTTTTGACAGATTACCCTTTTAACCCTGTTAATACTCTTTCTCTGTACCCTAACAGACGAGAACCACAGCAGCCCTGTTACCTTTTCTCTCTATACCCTAACAGAGACGAGGAGAACCATGGCGGTTGGAGATGGTGATGGTCTCATCGTCGCCGGCAATCTCGATCTTGTTGGTTCCGATCACCTGTGAAATCTCATCCGTCTCATCGTCGCCGGCAATCTCGATCTTGTTGGTTTCGTTCTCCTGCATAGACGAGAATCACAGCAGATTGATGGTGGTTCAYAGTGGTTGGAGGTGGYGATGGTGGTACATGGCGGTTGGAGATGGTGATGGTCTTCACCAGGAGATTGAGGGGAGAAGGGGATGAGAAGGCTGCTTATTTAGATGCAGAGGCTGAAGGGGGATTAGGGTTAGGTTTTTTTTTTGTATATATTTTGTATTTGTTTTTATTGTTTTATACTTGAAAATATAGATTTTTGTCAAATATATTATTGTAAACGATAAAAATAAATTTTTACATGTTAAAAAATCAAATAAGTTAATAAGCAATCTCAAACACTTCCATAAGTCAATAATATGAAAGATTGTCCTTTTTGGTCATTTTACATATATAAACAAAATTTGCCAAACACTAAAAAACAACTTATCAGCTTATTGCTTTTTGGTACCGCTATAAGCTAATCCAAACACTTTTTACAAAACTCCGGTTTGATACCAGATAAGTTAATAAGCACTTTTACAAAAAAACATAAGTTATTTTAAATAAGCAATCCCAAACACCCCCTATAATAAAAAAATTGAAATAAAACCACAAGGGTGGTGCCTGATTGGTTTGAGTTGGCTCCAGAGGTCAAAGTATCAGGAGGTCTCAAGTTCAAATCCAAGGAGGAAAAAAAATTCCCTTGTGGCCACGGAGGTTCAAATGTGGTGACTCCGGGCTATCTGCAAAGCAGGTGGTCGCCCTGGGATTAGTCGACTCGCATAGCGGGTTGGATATCCAGGTTAATCAGAAAAAAATTGAATTAAGGAAATTGTACCAAAAATACGAGAACTTTTAAATAGTTAATTTGATATTAATATCGATATATTTTTTCAAATTTTTATGACATCTTAAAATAATTTTTATTCAAAAGTAAAAACATTCGAAACCACATAAACCGTATTATATCAATAGAGACAAAAAATAAAACGAAACAGTAAAATGAATATATATCTCGTTGTATTGCGCAAGTACCCTTCTAGTACTCATAGAATACGTTTAAGGGAAAATGCATCAAGTTTGCTTTAGTTCCTATTTAATGTAACAAAAGAAAAATTCTTCCATTTTGAGCATTAACCTATTGATGACATTTGATATTGAGGACATCTAAATTATCAAGTTATCTTGATTATAGAAAGGTGTAGTGGTCGAGAATATATTGATTGACAACTTGGCATCCACATCAGCAAATGTCTTGTTCGTCAAAAATGGTTTCAAAATAGAAAATTTTGGAAGTTGGTCACACTGAAAAGAAACCTACTCAAAACTTCGTTGCATTTTGCTATACTTCTAAATTATGAAGTTGCATCGTTTTTCCATGAATAATGAGGCAACTGATATCAAAGAGATTGTTGGTACCCTCCGGAATACACTCTACCCCAACTCATTTAGTACCCCGCCCCGTCCAATCAGACAAGACAATCAAACTGAAAAGATCATATAAACAATGGAATGGCCGGAAGTTTAGCGTCATGGGAGGAAGCGCTGGTCATATACTATTACATCAGACACAATATTGCAATGATGACGACAGTTATCTGCAAGACTATTCGAAAAGAGTTTGGGGCCGTTTACGGAACGCTTACCCGTTAAGTGCTTATCGGCTCATTTACCTTATTGAATGAACATGTCAAAGGCCAAGAATCTTACCGAGTAAGAACGATGATGAGGATATGCACAAGGCTTGGTTCAGTTTGGCTTTTCTTCGTTATTTTTAGTTTTATAGATAAGCAATATGTTTAATACGATAACAATATTTATTATTTATAATAATGATGTAATATTTTAGATACAGTAAGTTTAGATGACATGGAAAAAGGGTTTGATGTTAATGCTTCAATTCTATGTATTTATTGCGTTAACTTATATTTGATTAATGTTTTATAAATATCTCTGTTAACCCAATCGTATTATGGAACTGTAATAATTATTATTTTAGTGTTATTTATTCTGTTTTTAAATATTATATGAAGGGATTTTAGTTAGTGTTTAGGGTTCATTTGGTATTTTATGATGGAATATTAATTTTTAAGGGATTTGAATAAAACTGAAATGGACTTCAAGCCTATAAAAAAAGTGTAATATTTCCGTTTTAAATTGTATCGTGGTGACGACAATTTTTCTGGAACTCTTTAATCGACTCAACATAAAATATAAATCATTAGTTAACAACTAATATACGTCTATAATTCTGTATCCACTTTTCTCTTGTTAGTTTCATACTCTCATTCAACGTGCGATGCAAATTATACTGTAAAAAAAAAGAAAAATGATTTCTAATGCTTAGGAGTTGCCGTCTTAGCTTTAAAGACTTCGGTTTCTCAATCGCCATTTGTCCATTTCTCCTCATTGTGTCACATTAACAATTTTTTATGACGATTACTTTAATATTTATTGATTGTTTACTAAAAAATTAAGAAAACAAGACCAAATCACCCTCTTTTTTTTCCTTTCCTTAACTAAAAAGCCAATTTACTCTAAATTCTCATATCTACACACCTACTTGAATTTTTAGGAGGTCAACCCTTCATATTCCGATCTCCTGGAATTTCTTATCGAACTTCAAATGGCTTCCACTTCTTCCTCTGCAACCATCGCTTCTCCTCCGGCTAACTATGACATCTTTCTAAGCTTCAGAGGTGAAGATACTCGTCATTCGTTTACGGATCATCTCTATGATGCATTAGGGCGAGCAGGAGTCCTCACTTTTAGGGATAATGATGAAATCAGTAGAGGTGAAGACCTCAAACCGGAAATCGAGAAAGCAATCAAAGCATCCAAGGGTTCGATAGTTGTATTGTCTAAGAACTATGCGACTTCCACATGGTGTCTTGACGAACTTTGCTTSATCCTTGAGCAAAAGAGGGAGTGCAATCATTTTGTTGTACCTGTTTTTTATCATGTGGATCCATCTGATGTAAGGAAGCAAGATAAAACTTTTAAGATAGAAGTCGACACATCTTCAAAGTGGACAGATGAAAATGTGAAAAGATGGAGAACGGCCCTTACGAAGGTTGCCAACTTGACTGGCCTGGTTCTTTCAGGGTATGTATTTCTGTACCAACTTAATTATCATATAATTTACCATTCAAATGTATTTTATTTTTACGTATGAGTCTTGGTGCTTTTTGTTATTTCTCAAATAAGAATATGATGAAATAGATAAATACACTATAATATATATATATATATATAGAGAGAGAGAGAGAGAGGGGGAGAGGGGGAGAAGTGATCAAATACAAATCGCTTACTTTTGTACAAACTAGCGTAAACCAATAACATAATTCCATTTAATTTTTTTTATTTTTAATTAATTCTTAAGAGTATGATTAATCCTTTGCCTTTATAATAGATACTTTTAGTAATATTTTAATTGTGTCTAAATCGAGAAGATTATACAGATTAGAGGTTTTTTAGGAAATGATCAATCAATTTGTTTTTATAATAATCTTGAAACTTATAAATTTTTAATAGATAATTACTTGAATATTTTGTATTCTTTTATTAAATAAAAACAATAAGTCAATTTAAGAGTTTACTTATAATTATCTTTTCTTATGAATATATTTATTTTATTTTCATAATAGCAAAAAGAATCGGTATTTTTTTTCAATTTATAAATCTTTCCAAATTTATTAATATTATAGTTGTGATATTTTTCATATTTTGAGTATATTGTTTTGTTTCATTTGTAAAATTCATGAATAAATTGATTTCCTTACAAATTTTATTAATGAAATCATGTTATCCAGTTTTTAAAATGTTTCATTTATGAAACTAATTTTATTAATGAAATCATATTATTCAGTTTTCAAAATGTTCCATTGACTAAATCATATTTAGTTTCATTAATAAACCAATTTCATTTTGGTTAGGAACCATGAAACCAATTTCACTAATGAAATCATGCTATTCAGTTTTCAAAATGTTTTATTCCGTTTTCAAAATGTTTCATTCATTAAACCAATTTCACTAATGAAATCATATTATTTAGTTTTTAAAATGTTTCATTCATTATTGTTGATAATAATAATTTTTAGGAAAGGGGATTTAATTCCGGAAAAAGAGATTTCAATGATCTAAATCGTTTAAAGCTTGTTCCCATTTTGCGCTTTATTGGAGAAAATAATAATAATATTTTTGTTTTATTTTTTTACTTTACTAAAATAACTTGTTTTAATCACGACCTTTGATCATGAAAATGGATGGATGTGATTGGTTTGTAGAGTTTGTACGAAATGGATGGTTTGCAAAGTAAACCTCCTCTCTCTCTCTCTCTCTATATATATATATATATATATAGAGAGAGAGAGAGAGAGAGATGAGCGATCAAATGAAAACCACCATCATTTGTACAAACTGTATAAACCACCCTCATACGTCGATTTCATTGTTTAATCTTATGAAATTTTTTCATGAATTGTTTCATATAATACTTTTTGATGAATTTGTTTCATATATAATTATGAAATTATTTCATATAATATTTAATGAAATTTTAATGAAACTGTTTCATGTATTTCTCTAAAATTAAAATAATGAAGATGTTAATATCTATGATTAACACCCTCCACAATAAAAATTGTTAATCAACCTCTCATAATTACAAAAAAATGAAAAATTATGATTGGTTGAATGAAGTTTGCACGGTTTGTACAAATTAGGTGGTTTTTATTTGAACGCTCCTCTATATAGATATGTATATATGGATAACCTGAGACCAACCCGTTTTCTCGACATCGTTGCTTGAAACTTCACAACAAAATATTATGAAGGTAACCAAAGTGTTTTTGCCGTGAAAGTTCATATTTCTTTTACATTCACAATATTTTGGTTTGAAGTTTCAAGTGGAAAAATGTGACGTCCCACAAAACCAGGCAGCTATCACATTAACCCTATATATATATATATATATATATATATATATATATATAGAGGGTTGGGTTATAAACTTGTTAATCTTTAGTTTGATATACTTTGTAAAGCTCAGATTGAAGCTTGTAATTTATTCTTCAATTTTAATGGTAAACGGTTGTATATGGTATGCCCACGCTTATACACTGATTATCCATGCTTTGGTATGCCTAGTATTCCACCAAATCTGAACATATATTGGTATTTTCTACTTTTTCACATTTGGAACCTTTAACTATTCTRACATTATTTTCAATAGAACTTATGAAACAAGCCTCAAAATGCCATCCACTGAACTTGCTTCACTTATCTTGTTTTCATACAGGTCTGAAACAGAGTTTTTGAAGGAAATCATTGATAACATTTACAATAAAGTTGCTCGCAAAACAGTTAATCTTCCACATAATCTAACAGGGATGAATGCTCGAGATAAAGATATAAGTTCTTGGTTAGAGCAATCTGATGTCAAAGTTTTAGCAATTTCTGGCATGGGGGGAAGTGGCAAGACAACCTTGGCCAAGTACATAGTCTCATCAAWATGTCAACATTTTGAAATCGTTACTGTTGTCGAAGACATAAGTGGTACATGTCAAACACAAAATGGTTTTGAGAAACTATTCCAAAATTTTGCCAAAGATATTCTAGGATATCAGAGGATGCCAACAACCAAGTACCATCAGTATAATACAGAAAGGGTCTTAAAAAAGAAAAAGGCACTTATTGTTTTTGAYRACATTGATGAATCAATACAGCTGGCACATTTTCTTAGAATAGAGGAWATTCATGAAGAAAGCAAAATTATAATAACAACCAGGAAAAATAATACACGTAATTGGTTTGAGCCTAGAACGAGGTGTCATGAGTACAAGATGCAATTATTAGATGCCAATGAATCATTAGAGCTTTTAAGTCTTCATGCCTTTGGATTCAAAAGTCCGATGAAAGGTTACGAGGAGCTTACCAAAGAGGTGCTACAGTATTGTGAAGGAAATCCACTGGCTCTTCAAGTGTTGGGTTCCTCTCTATCAGAGGATATTAGCACCTTATTTTGGAGAAGTACATTGGATTTATTGAAAAGAGATATGAACTCTGGAATTCAACGTGTACTCGTAAGGAGCTACAACTCGTTGCCAAATAAAAGTTATAAAGAGTTGTTTTTGCATATTGCTTGTTTTTTTGTTGGCGAAGACAAGGATTATGTGGAACAGATATTGGAGCATGATTATTGTGCATCATCTGGGATCCAGGTCCTAACCAATAGATGTCTTCTTTCTGTATCACCAAACAAGAAACTGATGATGCATCAATTGATTCAAGAGATGGGGAAAAGCATAATCCGTGATGAATCAAAACACCCTGCAGAACGCAGTAGAGTTTGGCTTAGTAGCGACTCTTACAAGATCTTGCGTAAAGGAGAGGTAAGATACTTCTTATGTTGATGTATAAACTTATTTTTCCTTTCACACCCACCTATTTCATCTAAAATTTTATTTACACCTCCACTATCTTTTCAGGGTTCAAAAACAATGGAAGGTCTAGCACTTGACATGAAATTGCTTGAGAAGCGCTGTTTAAGCAATGTTGGACAAAATTTGAAGCTTGATCCTTACAATGTACTCTTTCTTTTCTTGTTAGATTATACTCTTTCTATTCTAATGCATATCCACCATGGTATTGGAACATTTGATGTTCCCTTAATATACACTTGTCTAAGACCCGGATAATTTTATTCAAATAATCGAGGAGCAATTTATTAATACTTGGTGGCATCTTTCTGCATTAATTTTTAGGTATACTGTACGCTTACTCTCTTCCATGCTAAATTTGCAGTCATCAGACTTTAAGACAGATTCCCTTACAAAAATGGATAACCTAAAATTGCTCCAGCTAAATGATGTGCATCTCACTGGATCCTACGAGGAATTTTCAGAAGATTTAAGATGGCTATGCTGGCGTCGATTCCATTTATCAGCCATACCGTCTGGCTTGTTCCAAGGAAACTTGGTGACTATCGATATGAGAGATAGCAAGTTAAGAGTATTTCAACCACCCATCGTATGAAGTTTGACATCCTTTTTTTATGGTTTCTCCTTTTCGCTTCTAAGTATTTGGTAGTCTTTTTGTGGTTTATAGTGCATGCGTGCCAAATAAGTCTTGCTACTTTTGCAACAGGTTCTTCAATTCCTCAAGACTCTAGATCTTCAAGGCTCAAAGTACCTGTCTGAAATCCGCGATATATCTCGTCTCCCTAATCTTGAGACTCTAATTCTTTGTCACTGTTCTGAATTGGTTCATGTTTGTGAAAGCATTGGGAGCCTTATGAATCTTGCTCTATTGAACATGACAGGGTGTGAAAGCCTTCTTTGGAGTTTCTATATGGACTATGGAAGGGAACTGGCTTCAACGTCTGGTGAAGGAAGTCCACACCAAACTTCCTTTATTTTGCCACCTTCATTAGTGTGGTTAACCCTCAAGGGCAACGACATTTTATGCAGTGACTTCTTTCCTCTGAGTTTCAATGTTCAACTGAAATTGCAGTACCTGGATTTAGGAGGAGGCATGTTTAAAAGCTTGCCTAGTTACAGTCATCTTAAAAATCTTAGGGTCCTTCACTTGAGTTGCTGCAATTTTCTTAAATGGCTTATATGTCTCCCAAGTGCACTTGCAGAATTGTATGTAAATTCTTGTGGCTTGCTAGAGAAAATAACTTTCGAGTCACATAAGTTCACATTGCAAGAGTTTGGCTGTCATGGTTGTTATAGTTTGTCTGAAATTGAAGGCTTTATAAAATTGTTGTCAATAGCCAAACTAGTTCAAGCTGATTTAGGACACATGGCATGGCTAAAAGAATATGAACATCTTAGGGTGCCTCTTTTTGGCGATATAAGCGAGGATGACAGGTTCCACGTTGACAGGTTCCACGATGCCTACAGCTGGATTAAGGTTTGTTGTTCTTTTTCTGAATCATATGCATAAGCACACACAAGCACATCGATTTCCACCTGAACTTGTTATATATGAGTGATTGAACTTTATATATTGTTTGTGGCACAGATGTTGTATGAATTCGGTATAATGAGCACGTCTCTACCAGACATACAAGATCCAAACCTAATAAATGGATGCATATCAAAATCACCATCTTTGTCCTTTGAGGTGCCTTCTTGTCCCAAGAATAGGAGGTTGATAGGAATGAACATAAGTTTCAAATATACAATATCAGGTGATTATGATTGGGCATGGTTTGCTAAAATCAGTACCAACGGTGGTGTTGCTTATATATACAACCCCTATGTCTTTGGCAACCCTGGAGTTGGTGAGGTTGGTATATGGTTAAGCTATTGGCCAATTGGAAGCAAGTTAAACGTTGGAGATGAAGTTAATGTGTCTATCGTTGTGATGAATGGAATATTAAAGGTACACGAGTGTGGTGCAACTCTTGTATACGAGAATGAAGATGATACCTTGAAAATTAACATGCAACGGGATTTGTCTGCATTCCAACTAAGAACAGGAGCGTTTTATCTTTGTCGGCGTGATTTTTTCAAGTTAATGGAGATTGGGAGATTGATTCCAGGTTGGCTCAGTCACTTAGTTGGTGATAATGACATTGACGATAGAGGTATGTTATTCTTATTACTGAGTGTTTGCAATGAATTTAAGCTGCAAATAGATAAAGTTCCTCATTAACATATCACACATTGTTTGTTACAGAGGTACGAGGATGGAGAAAGACCGGTGGACCTTCTCTGTTAGACCCAACAGTCACGGAATTGTCAGACTCATCACTTAATGATAGAGATGGCAAAAGACCTCGAAACCAATGATGAAAACCAAAAAACCGAAACTTTCGGGTTGGGTTCGGGGACATCTTATTGGTAGGGATGGCAACGGGGCGGGGATGGGGCGGGGTTTGCAATCCCCGGCCCCGGCCCCGGTTTGTGTACAGATTCCCCGGCCCCGGCCCCGTCCCCGGTCAACTCTCGGTCAACCCCGGTCAAACCCCGGTCAAACCCCGGTCAACCCCGGTCAACCCCGGTCAATTTAAAATTAATAAGTTTTTTCTAACCATGATCAAAATAACAACATAATTAGTTAATTACATCACTCACATCTAGTCTTTGCTCTTTAAAAACAATAAAATTGTAAAATTAACAATAATCCAAGAAGATGGAAAATTTAAAACAAGTGTTTTCCAAACATTCAAGCAACACATAAATTGTAAAATTAACAATACTCCAATCCCTCATCAATCGACATCTTCATCGTATCCAATCGTTTGATCAAATCCTTTTGGTTCTCCGTGTTTTTGATCTGAAATAAAAGAATTAAGAATGCAAGTCAGAATAATTA